CTTGTGGGGGCTGGGAATCAAACCCGGGTCCTCTGCAAGAGCAATCAGGGCTCTTAACCTCTGAACCATCTCTCCAGCCCATATTTTTATTTTAGGTGTATAAGTGTCTTGCCTGCATCTATATAGGTGCACCATGTGCATGCAGGGCTCACAGAGACCAGAAGAGGGCATAGGACCCCCTGGAACTGGAGTCACAGGTGGTTGTTAACTGCCGTATGGGTGCTATGAACCCCACCTAGATCTTCTACAGGAGCAGCAAGTGCTCTTAACCCCTGAGCCATCTCTCCAGCCCCCAGAGTTCCCTAATACATTTCCTACAAATGGCTATAAACAATGACTATTTAAAACAACAGCTGTGGGACTGGAGTATAGCTCAGAGGTACAGCAAACACTCAGCAGGTACAAGGACCTGGCTTCCACCCCCAGCACCAAGGGACGGAAAACCCCACAGGGGTGCATATCTCTCAGTTCTGCAGGCCAAGGGTCTTGTATCAAGGCGTGGATGGGCCCTGATCCTGCTGCGGGCTCTATGGGGACTCCAGTTCCAAGGGGCTCCAGGCTTGTGACCATATCACCCCAACTCCTCCATCTTCTCAGGCCTCTTTCCTCTGTCTTTTCCTCTTCTGCCTCTTGTAAGCAAATTAGTCATTGGGTTAGGGCCTGCCTTATTTCTTTTGATTTTTTTTTCTTTGACACAGGGTCTCATGTATTCTTTAAGTCACTAATAGAAAAAATAACCTGGAACTTTCCATCCTCCCTTCTCCACTCCCTGAGTACTGGGATGACGGGCATGCACCATGACTCCTATGTGGGGCTGGGGATGGGTCCCAGGGCTTCATGCATGCTAACAAGCACTTCACCAACCAAGCCATATTCTCAGCCCCAGGACAGTCTTATCTTGAAATCTTTCACTAAATTACATCTGTAAAGAACCTTTCCCCAAAGAAATTCACACAAACAGGTTCTGGGGACATATCTTTTGGGAGCGCTGGTCAGCCCCCTGCTGATATCTTTGGAGTTGGTTCTGCTGGTCTGACAGAGTTTGTTCACCTCTCAGTGGAGACATTCCTGGATTTACCGTTGAATGTTGTTAGGGGTATGTTACTGTTGATGAAATGCTCATGGCAAACCCAATCCATAGAAACCACGTGGCAGGTTGGTACATGGACCTCAAATATAAGAGAGATGGATCTTCTAATTCCAACAGAGAGAGATGAGATTTGAGTCCTGGGTTTAGGATGCCCCAAGGTTCTCTGAGGGGCTGCTATTTATATACATACAGAGGGAAAGAGAGAACTCCTCTAGCTCCCCAGTATGGTGAGACTATATGCCTGCACCTGTCCTGGCTCCATGCACCCAGCTGGAAGCAGAGCATGTGATTGCCCCCAGAAGTGGTTCAATTAATATGGAACTTGCCGTCTCAAGTTGACATTACATCACAAAGTGGGTGCTCGGGGCCTGTGAGAACAAGGAGGGTTCACCCCTCTCCCAGGGATCAAGAACTGCCTTCCCCTCCTAATTCCCAGATGTGCAAAGTGTCCACACCCTCCAGGGACCCCGGCCCCACCAGACCTGTGTCCTTAATGGCTCAGACCTGCTCTCTCTCCCTAGGGCACCTACTGGATCTGCTGAAGACTCGAGGGAAGAATGGGGCCATCGCCTTCCTAGAGAGCCTGAAGTTTCACAACCCTGATGTCTATACCTTGGTCACAGGGCTGCAACCCGACGTTGACTTCAGCACCTTCAGTGGTAAGTGCTGAATGAGGGTCTTGGAGCCTGCTGGCCACACCTGGACACCAGCAGTCTCCCACTCACTGCACTGGAAGGGTGGGGGAGAAGGAGCCCCTGGAGCTTGGGGTCTGCAAGGCCCATCTTTAGTGACCCAGCATCGTGAGGAGGCTGGGGAGGCGGGGAGGCAACAGCCATACAGCGGAGACTTAGCCTGCTTGATGGAACATAAGGCCATTTTCAGTCATTAAATGACTTTGGCCTTCTCTGGAGGAACTCTTGAAAGATTTTGGTATTAAAACAGAACACTCAAGGAAGTCAGAACAGCAGCTAATAAATAAGCCACCTCTTCCTGTCTGGCTCTCCGGACACATTTCTATGAGTTCCAGTTTGCAGATTTACGTCCATGGCTGTGTTTCCTTGGGTTGCCATACACATGATCAGCCTTGAGTGTGATCAGCTCATAAGGAGAGCCAGATGTGACTGGCGGATGCTCATGGGGAGGCCCAGAGGGCAACCCTTGAGCCCAAATCGCACCCAAAATATGAAGTTGTAAAAAGGCAGGAGGCTTTTTATTTATATATTTATTTTATGTATGAGCGTTTTGCCTGCATGTATATAAGTGCACCTGTGTCATGCAGTGCCTGGGGAGGCCAGAGTCCCCCGGAACTGGAGTCATGGACGGTTGTTAGCCATCAGTGCTCTTAACGGCTGAGCGCTCTCTCCAGTCCTTTTAAAGAGACCAGCCAGGTAGGGCTGGAGGCTTGCAGGGGTCTGGCCATGGAGTGTAAGACCCTGGAGGCTGAAGACGGAAGAGCCAGATGACAGTGCTGACGCCCATCTACAGGCCTCATGGAGACGTCCAAGCTGACTGAGTGCCTGGCGGGGGCCATTGGCAGCCTGCAGGAGGAGCTGGCCCAGGAGAAGGCACAGAAGGAGGCGCTGTGACCTGGGTTTAGGTTTTCATGATTTAACAGTTGGATAGCTTTGAGTAATCTCCTGATCTTGTGGTTTGGTGTTTTTGTCTAACATTTAATAAGAACAACAGGTTCAGGGTATGAGGACTAAGTAGGAAAGTAAGAGCTAATGAAGGAAGCAAAGCCTCATTTTCATTACCGTATAGTACTTTAGGGCTTGTGGTCATTCTTTATGTGTCAAGTTGGATGGGTCTTGGGATGTTCAGGTGCTGGGAAAACATTGTTTTTGGGTGGGCCAGTGAGAGTGTTTTGAGGAGAGATTAGCACTGGAATTAGTAGACCAAGTACAGAGATCTACTCTAATCTTAGCGTATGGTCACCATCTAATCTTCCAAGGTCTTGAACAGAAGGCAAAGGCAGAGGAAGCAGGAACTTCTCCTCCCGTTTGAGCTGAAACATTTATTCCTTTGGCCTGTGGGCTTTGTGCTCTGGATCAAGGGTTTGGGAACTTGAGTTGTGACTCACATCATTGCCCCCTCTTCTCAGATTTTCAACCTTCACTTGCAACTGCATCATTGGCTTTGTTGGGCCTTCAGTTTGAGTGAAGCCAATCCTGGGCCTGCTCATCCTCACAATCACATGAACCAATTTCTTCTACTGAAGTATATCTTTATACACTTGTAGTAATAGATTAGGTGTTGTTAACTCAGTCTTTTTTATTTTGTTTTCTTTGAGACAGAGTCTCATTATATAGCCCATGCTGGCCTTGAAGTCAGTCCTTCTGTCTCAGCCTCCCACATGATGGATTATAGGCATGCATCCCTATGTCCTGCCCCCGTGTTCTTTTTTAAAAAATATTTTATTATTATTGTGTGTGTGTGTGTGTGTGTATTGCCTGCCTGTACGTGAGTGCACCCATGTGCAATGCGGTGGAGGTCAGAAGAGGGCTTTGGATTCCCCTGGAACTAGAGTTAAGGATGGTTTGTAGCCGCCATGTGGGTGCTAGGAATTGAACCCGGGTCCTCTGCAAGAGCAGTCAGTGCTCTTAATCGCTGAGCCATCTCTCCAGCCCCAATAAAATTTAAAAAAAAATATTTTGAGGCAGGGTCTTATTGTGGAGCTCTGGCTGGCCTAGGACTCACTATGTAGACCAGGCTGGCTGGCCTCGAATTCTCAGAGATCCACCTGCCTCTGCTCTGGAGTGTTTCTGGGGCCTGGGCAGTTCCAAACTCCCTTGCCCTGTGTGTAAGCATCCTGTGCTGCCATAATGGCTAGCATTGTACAGATGGTGGCTCCAAACCACAGGTGCTCCCATGTGCACAGCTCTGGGGGTGTCCGTGGCAGCTCCCGGGGGTCTGTGCTGTGCCTTTCTGTGAGTTCTCATATTGTTGGAAATCCCTCTGCCAACTTGGCTTGGCATCCCCCAGTCTCTGCCTGGTGGTCACTTCACTCTCCCTTGTATATCCCCCCCAACCCATCCCTTTGGAGGGACAGCAGTCATCCAGTGACTTCGCCATGATTCCATCTGTGAAGACCTAGTCCCAATAAAGTCACAGTCCCAGGTCCTTTGGGAATGTGACCTGGAACACCTTGTATCACAATCCTTAATCAGCTGTCCGCAGGAAACCAGGAGGGAGCTGCGGGAAACCAGGAGGGAGCTGCTGAGGCTCGCGGCTGCTCCCTGCTCATCCTCCTCCATCTCCTTCCTCAGGCCCTTATTTTGATATATCACAGTGAAAGATTTATCGTCCTCTTTTTTTTTTTTTTTTTTAAAAAAAAAAAAAAAAAAAAAAAAAAAAAAAAAAAACTTTTTGGCAAGAAATTCCTTCAATCTACATCCTTGGGGACAGGCTGTGACAGCCTAAGGGCTCTGTGTGTCTCTTGCACACCCCTCTGTGGAATGAGGCATGAGAAGACCTGGGAAAACTAGCAATCCTCCTGCCCCAGCCTCCCAACCAGCTGAGACTGCACCCTTTTCCACGTTTTTTTTTTCCTGCCCAATATACAGCAGTTAAGGCCACACCATCTGACTCTATACCTGGCCTTGAGGTTTCCTGTACTGTTTCCTCAGTGGAAGGGCTGGGGAAGTTGACTGAGCTCTTTCTGTACCAGGTTGAGAAGGACATTCTGGAGCAGAGCCTGGATGAGGCCCTGGAGAGCAAGCAGGAGCTGGTGGACCGCATCCACTCACTGCGGGAGCGGGCCGTGGCTGCGGAAAGGCAGCAGAAGCAGGTGATGAGGCAGAGCCCGTCCTGGGGCCGTGACGTGCCCGTGCTGGGCAGGACTGTGTTTGTGGGGCAGACGGGTTCATTCATCCACACGGGACTTAGCTAACTTTGCTCATTGAGAACCAACTCACAGCCCAGACTAGAAGTCGCCGTCGGGCAAGCAAGGGAGAAGACCCAGGGCCAAGTCGGTGGCTTGGGGGCCGTGAGAGCCAGGGATTTAGTCGAGGGGGTATAGGCGACAGTGAGAGTGAGGCAGGATGGGCAGACATTTGTGTATTTGTGGCTATTAAACAGCATGCAACCCTGCACCACTGAATCCTGTTTGATCAGTGCTGTGGCTCTGCAGACCAAAAGAACATGAATTCGCCTCACTCCACCCCGCAGAACTCCTTGTCCCCCTTTCCTTCCACATCTCCCACTCACCCCTCCCCACTCAAGCCCTCAGAGCCACTGAACTGCATGGGCCTGTCCCCTCTGTCCAGTACTGGGAGGAGAAAGAACAGACCCTGCTCCAGTTCCAGAAGACGCAGGTGGACTGTGAGCTGTACAGAGAGAAGATGACCACTCTGCAGGGCCAGGTGGTGGAGCTGCGGAAGGAGCGGGACCAGGTAACCTCAGGACTGGGGCGGGGCCTGGTGGGTGGTGCAGGTGCCTACCCCGGCTGGGACTGGGCTCAGGAAGACCACCGCTACTTCCACTGCCCCTGCTGGTGTGTGAGTCAGGCTGCTAGCTTGTGGCTCAGAGGATGGGTTTTAGACCTTAAGATCGTTCCTTGGACCGTGGGAGGTTCCATTGTGCCCCTAAAGTACACTAACATGGGCTCTCTGTCATCCCCCTACTCTTATTCCTGGCAAAAGACAGTGAAAATACCTATCCAGGATACAGGGTCTTGTTAAAATATAGTCGGTTTGTAATAAATAAAATTTTTTAAAAAGTTTAGGGGCTGGAGAGATGGCTCAGCAGTTAAGAACACTGGTTGTTCTTGCAGAAGACCCAGGTTCGAATCCCAGCACCCACATGGTAGCTAACAACTGTCCATAATTCCAGTTCCAGGGGCTCTGACAGCCTCTTCTGTCCTCCACGGGCATTGCACGACACGGGTGCATTTACCTACATGCAGGCAATACACGTGTACACATAAAATAAAGATAATAAATAAAATTTAAAAATACATATATATAGTCGGTTTGCACATTAAGAGTGAGCTCTGGTTAATGCAGGATAGATGAATTCATGGTGGACGTCCTCAAGCATGGGGCACCTTTTACAGCTCAGACTGCTGGGCTCATCGGCCCATCCCAACCCCTAACTGTTCCCACCCCATCTGTCCTATCTTGACTGCAGGCATATTCAGCGAGGGATGGGGCCCAGATGGAGATTTCTCAGCGCCTGGTGGAGAAGGATGCCCTCCGCAGGAGAGTGTTCGAACTGACTGAGCAGGTCTGTGAGCTCCGAACTCAGCTACAGGGGCTGCAGGCAGAGCCCCCAGGAGGGGTGAGTGCTCCATCCCCATCACCCCCAGAGTGGGAGGCTGGACAGTGGGCTGCATGGGAGAGAGATGGGGACAACGCCCAGATCAGGCCGCAGGCAGGCCTCCACAGAGCCATCTGCCTTCTCGTCAGCAGTGAGGCTGTGAAACCCTGAGGATGCACACAGCGCAGACCAAGCTGGCTCCTGCATCTCTGCATGTCAGTGTTACTGTGCCATAGAAGGAAGCTGATATAGGGACCTGCCTGGAAGGGTGGGGATGTGTATTGTGCCTGAGTGTAAGGCCCCATGGCTATGCAGGGGCACAATTCCTGAGCTAAAGTGCCATCTGGCCTCCTTGGTAGTCTAAACAGGAAGCCAGAGCCAAGGAACCCTGTCTGCGAGGGAAGCAGCGGCTTGTGAGGATGCATGCCATGTGCCCACCAGATGACAGTGACTGCAGCCTCCTCAGCTCCACCGAGGTACAGCCTCCTGCCCCCTGCCCCTGCCCTGCCCCCTGCCACACTCAGTCCAGCATATCATTTGGACTACAGGGCTCTCCAGAAACCTTGGAGAAGAGGTTAGTGCCACAGAGAATTCCAAACAGGAAACCCACTCCCTCGTAGTTCTGGGGACTGGAAACCAAAAACGAAGGTGTCAAAGGGCCACACTCCTGACGGCTCTAGGGAAGAGTCCTTTCTGCCTCTCCAGCTGTGGCTGGTTTTCAACAATTCTTGGCTTGCAGCCACGTCGCTCCAATCTCTACTCCGCAGCCATGTGAAGTTGAATACATCTCTCCAGATTGCCCTTCTCTTAGGAGGTGTATCAGGGCTGAAGTGCGGGTGCAGCCGTGAAAGACTCAGGCTCACAGCCGAAAAAAACAAGAAAGTGTGTCAGTCAGCTTTCCGTCACTTTGACAAAATACCTGAAGATAATCAACTTAAAGGACAAAGTTTTGTTTTGGTTTATGGTTTAGAGGTTTTGGTTTATTTATTTTTGTTTTATGTGTGTGTTATGCCTACTTGTGTCATGCAATCCCTGTGGAGTACAGATGAGGGCTTCAGATCCCCCTGGAACTGGAGTTACACACAGTTGTTAGCCACTATGTGGGTGCTGGGATTCAAACCCGAGTCTTCTGCAAGAGCAGCCAGTGCTCTTAACCACTGGGCCATCTCTCCAGGACCTGGTTCAGAGGTGGATGGAAGAGAGCAGTTGACCTCACAGCAGCTAGGAATGGGGCGGGGGTGTGGGATGGGTCAGGCTCCTAATTCCTCCTTTGAAGGCATACCTCCAATGACCTAACTTGCCTCCACTAGGCCCATCTAATTTCAACCACTGAATAGCACCCCAAGCCAGCTGCCAAGGCTTCAACACAGTCTTTTGGGAACATTTAAAATCTAAACTGTTGGGGCTGGAGAGATGGCTCAGCGGTTAAGAGCACTGACTGCTCTTGCAGAGGACCTGGGTTCGATTCCCAGCACCCACATGGCAGCTATAAACCATCCTTCACTCCAGTTCCAGGGGAATCTGAATCTCTCTTCTGACCTCCACAGCATTGCACGACACAGGTGCACTCACATACATGCAGGCAATACACTTATACACATAAAATAAAAATAAAAATGAAAAAAAATCTAAACTGTCACAGAAAGGCACTGATCCTATGGGTTTACAGCCCACTTTAATAACCCAGTCTAACTCTGCCTTAGCTTGATTTCATCTGCAAAGATCCTAGTTCCAAATTAGGACACATTCACAAGTTGTGGGTGGACATGAAATTTGGGAGGACACTATTCCACGCGCAGCCCAAATGGTCCCTGGGATGTATGACCCACTGTGGCTGCATGGCTGCCTTGGTCAAAAAGGAGAGGCGGGCCCTCCACAGTGGCCACATGGATTCAGGATGTTCAGGGTAGGACGGAAGGCCACCGCTGTGGGCTGCTTTGAGATGGGGTGGGGATGAGAGGCGGGTGAGTGGAGTCTCCTTGCCACCACCGGGGACAGGCTTCATGCTTCCTTCCTGGGTGACCCCAGCAGTGTCCTTATTCTGTCTCTGTATCTGCAGAATAGCCTCCTAGATGAACCTACTCACTGGCTTCTTGGAAAACTGGAAAAGCCTAGCACCTTCCCCCAAGCACTGAGTCCACAAGGCCAGAGAGGTTTTCACAATCAAAACCCTAAACTGAGGGGAACAGGCTCCTCCTCCCAGCTCCCAGAGCCCAAGGACAGCGTTTCCTTTGGGGGCTGTGGTGAGGATGTGAAGGTACCTTGGAGGCTCCCAGCTTACTCTCATGCTCTTAACTCCCTGACCTGGATCAGCTCCCTCTCCAGCCTTCCCCTAGACCCTATGATACAGCCTCCCTCTCTCTTGCTTCTGCAGTATAGTCTCTGTTCAGTCATCCACACCCTCATCTCTCAGGCTGCTCTGTCACTCCCTCCAGAAAGTCCGTCACACCCTGATGTGATGCGCTCACTGGTCTGTGTTTGCCCATCCGTCTCCCACCCAGGAATGGAGCTTGTCCTTAGGAGTATGTGGACACCATAAAAAACAAAAACAAACCTGACCCATAGGGTTGCTGTAGGAACTCAGTGAGTGAATTCATATGGACTCTGTGAACCAGGTCCTCTCAAGGCCTGCTCAGAACTGGCCTTCCTCATGAGGCCTCAGCGCCTCCCCTCACCGGCCAGTAACTCCCTGTATTGTGGATCTTTCTGCTTTACATGTAAAATGAGCCAGTACTCGGCCGGGCGTGGCGGTGAACGGCTTTAATTCCATCACTCGAGGCAGAAGCAGGCAGATCTCTGTGAGTTCGAGGCCAGCCTGGTCTACATAGTGATTATAGGGACACTGCAAGAACCCAGGGTAATGCACATTGAAAGCAGCCTAGAATGCATACAGTGGGTGTTCAATGAGCAGAACTTAATATGTCCCTCTTCCCCTGCACTCCTGTTTTCTGTGCCACCACCCTCCGTCTGCCCTTCTCCAGTCTCGGCTGTGGTGGGACCTGAACGCCACATCCAGCCGGGAGCAGATGGACAGCTTCCGCTCCAGCAGCCCTGTGCCTCCCAGCCAGCAGTCCCTGTACAAACGGATGGCAGAGGACTTCCCAGAAGACCCTGAGTCTCTGAGGTAAAACATGGTGCAGCCCTGGGGTCCAGCTCACAAAGGAACCTTGCTAAATGGAGGGTCATCTGGGTTTGGGGCCGACAACTCCGGAAGGTGCTTGGGACTCCAGGCTTCAGCTAGAGTGGGCTTGACTGTGAGCTGGCTTCCTGTGCTTTGCAGCAGCTTCCTGGAAGTCCCGGAGGTGTGCCTGGGAACACTTCAGGGGGCTGCGGGGGACGACACAGACACAGACCTGGACTATGAGATCTTAGATGGAGCAGGTGAGTATACCCCCACACCTGAGTCTCTACAGCATCTTCCTCCCCTGGGCTGGCACAGTGGGAACAGGAAGCAAGTCCAGAGAGGCAGGTGAGACGGCCTGGGTCTCTCTTCAAGACAGGCAGATAGTCATGAACTTGATCTCTGTCCTGGCCTCTAGGAAAATCCTAAAGCCCAGGTGAGTTCTGTTTACTGTTCTCTTTTTACGTCCTCACATAGGGGGCAAGGGAGCTGTATTCATAGCCACATGCAGCTCAGCATACATGTGCAGATAGCCACAGACACGCAAGTCCTCATGAGTTCCTTCCCACTCTGCAGACACTTGGGCCTCTCTGGGGCATCAGGAGGCAGCAGGTTCGGGACAGGAACACGTGATGCAGGGTGCACTCCCACCCCACACCCACTCCCCAGCAGCCCTCCTTTTGGGTGCTGGCTTCCAAGGCTCTGAATTCTCATTCCCCTGTTTGTGCTTGAATTGGCCCCTTCTGAAGTCTGGGAGCCTTTCACAGAGGGCATCCTCTTCTTTTCTACCTCACACCTAGGGGCACATCTGTGACAGTGACAAGCTAAGAATCCCCACCCCCTGCCACATACACACACTCCCTAAGGGGCCTTTAACCTGGCTGTGAGAGCTGGAGCAGGGAGCGCCTATTTCTCTCAATCTCTTCTTAGGATTCCACACACTGCCTCCGTTCATACAGTTACTGGGATTGACCTCAAATACATTCTGGGTATTTTTAAAATTTCATTTGGCTTTGAATGCATTCCAATGGTTCTTTGCTTGTGAGCTGAACAACTGCTAGGTCTCCACTGGATCTTGTGGGATGGGGATGCTCCCTAGCTCAAGGTCACAGATTGCAAATTGCAATGCTAGAGTGGGGGCTGGAAAAATACCTCTGTGGATAAAGTGCTTGCTGTGTAAGCATAAGGATCTGAGTATAGCACCGGCACCCATGTGAAAGCCAGGCATAGCAGTGGCAGGGTCTGTAACCCCAGTGCTGGGGGCAGAGATGGGCCAATCCCCCTGTTTGCTGACCAGCTAGTCTAGCTGAAATGAACTTTAGATTTAGTGAGAGGCTGTCTAAAAAACGTGGAGGTGCTGAAGAGATGGTTTATCAATTACAGGAGCTTACTGTTCTTCTAGAGGACCTGGGTTCAGTTTTCAGCATCCACATGGTAGCTAACACTGCCCTTAACTCTGGTTCAAGGGGATCCGATGCACTCTTCTGGCTTCCACAGGCACCAGGCACATGTGGTGGACTTACATACATGGCAGGCAGAACTCTCATACACATAAAGCAAATATAAATAAAATACTAAAAAAATAAGGTAGAAGTGGTAGAAGACACTGGATGTTGACCTCTAATCTCCACATATGTATACAAGTGAGGGAACCTGCACACACACACAACACATTTCTGTACACATGTGCACATGCGTGTGTGTGTGGGCAAACACACACACATAATTATTAGAACCCTGGGTGTGGTGGTAAACACCTGTAATCCTAGAACTCAGAGGATTGAGAATTCGAGGCCAGCCTGGGCTGTATAAGTGAGACCCTGATTCTGATTCATTAATTGCTTTGGAAAATGGTAGGGGCTGGAGAGATGGCTCAGCAGTTAAGAGCACTGACTGTTCTTGCAGAAGACCCAGGTTCAAATCTCCGCACCCACATGACAGCTAACAACTGTCCATAACTCCAGTTCCAAGGGATCTGACAGCCTCTTCTGTCCTCCGCAGGCATTGCATGACATGGGTGCACTTACCTACATGCAGGCAATATACTCATACACATAAAATAAAAATAATAAATAAAATATTTAAAAAAACAAAAGAAAAATGCTAGAGCTTGGGGACCCCCTGAGGAGCATCTATGGTCAGAACTGCCAACTCACAGACCTGCCCCAGTCAGTGGGTCACTGGTCAGTGCTAGGGATGACTGCCATACAGAAGGGCAGGCCCAGGGCTGTGCCAGATTTGATTCGTAAGTGAATAGAAATCTAGATTCTAGAAATTTCCCTATCCTTTAAGATATTGACAACTTGTTTTGATCACAGAATGACAGGTGTAGCTCTCACCAGTTACTTTGTAAAAAAAAAAAAAAAAAAAAAAAAAAAAAAAAAAACTAAACACAGAAGAGGGGACTGAGCAGGGGCTTGGATCAGGCAGTGGCTTCTTGGAGCCAGAGAAAAGAATGAGCTCGCAGTGGAGTGAGCAGGGCCAGCAGCTGGTGACCTCAAGGTCTGGCTGCTAAGCTCCCACTTCCTTGCAGACCTCTCCCAGTCAGAGGACAGCCTGCAGGGGTCTTCCAGAAGCTTGGATGTCTTAGAAAGGTGAGCCGCAGGCTTGGGGGCACCCCCCACCCCCTGCCCCCGGACTGGAGAACCAGAGCCCGGAGCAGAGTGTGACTGCGCCCTCTCACCATGGGGAGCTGACAGCTTTCCCAAGATGATGGGTCACAGCAGGGGAGGAGAATTCCAGAATTCTGGGGCAGAGGGCATGATGGGAAAGTGGCCTTGCTGACTCCTGTTCTGGGGTTACATCTATCTGACCACAACAGCATCCCTGTGAGGCGGAGGCCAGCCCGTAAGATCTTGAGCCAGGTCACAGTGCTGGCGTTCCAGGGAGACGCGCTACTGGAGCAGATCAGTGTCATCGGTGGGAACCTCACAGGCATCTTCATCCACCGCGTCACCCCAGGCTCTGCAGCAGACGAGATGGCCTTGCGCCCTGGCACCCAGATCGTGATGGTGAGCGAGTGAGGCTTCACTACCGCCAGGCCTTTTGTGGGTGGCAGGCAGCAGTGCTCTGGTGCTGACACGTTCTCAGCCCTGGGTTGATGGAAAGTACTGGACTCATCTGTAGAAGAGGGTCACAGGGGGAAACCAGTTCCCTTCTCAAACCTGATGTTCTAGATTCCTGGGAGCTTAGAAACTGGGAAAGGGCTGCTGGAACATGGCAACTCCTACCATGGACCTTTATGCTGTTTTGGAGGTAGAGTTCAGGGGCCTTGTGCCTGCCAGGCAAGTGGTGTACCACTGAGTAGCTGCACCCCAGGCCTGACCAGGCATCTCTTAATGCAGTCCTTGATAGGGCCAGTCTAATGGGGGAGGGCTTTGATTGGCTTCAAGAAAATTTTACTATAATGATCTTATCATCACTTTATATGTGTGCAGTAAAAAAAATACACATGGCATAAAATTCACCATTTTAAACATTGAGTGCATTTTCTAAACCAGTTTAATTGAAGAATGCCCATATGTGACGAGAACATAAATGCACATATAAATATAAAACACAAGCCAGGTGTGGTGGTGCACGCCTTTAATCCCAGCACTCAGGAGGCAGAGGCAGGCTAATTTCTGTGAGTTCAAGGCCAGCCTGGTCTACAAAGTAAGTTCCAGGACAGCTGGGGCTACAGGGAGACCCCGACTCAAAAAGACCAAAAAAAAAAAAAAAAAAAAAAAAAAAAAAAAAACCACAAGTGAGTCTTACTAAGTGGTTACATGGGCAGGAAGGGTGACTTTGATGTGGCTAAAGCCAGGATTTTCTTTCATTGTGCGTGCATGCGTGCATGTGTGCATGTGTATGTATGGATGCACACATGCACAGCACATGTGGAGGTCAGAGGACAACCTTTGGGAATCAAGCTTTCTCCTTCCACCTCATTTTGGGGCAATATCTCTCATTTTTTTAAGAATGTTTATTTCTTATTTATTTATGTGTGTGTACACAAGCCACAGAACACATGAGGCAATCAAAGGACAATTTGTGGAAGTTGGTTCTCTCCTTCCACCATGTGGCAATCACTAAGTCACCTGGCTGGCCTTTTAAAAATATCAAGCAATGGGGCTGGAGAGATGGCTCAGTGGTTAAGAACACTGCTTGTTCTTAACCCAGAAGACCTGGTTCAAATCCCAGCACCCACATGGCAGCTAACAGCTTTCCATAACTCCAGTCCCAGGGGATCCAACAGCCTCCTCTGGCCCTCGCTGTCAGTTGGAGCGGGTAAAGAGGAGAGATTCCCTCTGGCATTGGAGAGATGGTCATAATATACTGGGACAACTTTGGACTGATAGTCTCGAGACATATTTTAATACAGAAACACACATCTTCTCAAACTTAACCCCAGGAAAGAGGGGGGCAGTTATATCAGCTCTTAGGGCTTCACAGAACATGTGGGTGGGGTGCTCATCCCCATGACACAGAATGGTGAGGCCCCTGATCTAGCATGATCCAGAATGTTCTGGAATCCCCCGAAGTCCATTTTTAAGACAGTAAAGTACCTATCACAAAGAAATAATCTTCGACAGTGAGAAGGTTGGAGATGGGTTGGGGGGGTGACTCTCCAGGCCAAGAATGTGCATGACAAGCAAGTGTGTGGCTCAGTGTTATAACCCAGTACTGTCCCCACACACAGCCTGTGACAAGGGCTCTGATGGTGCGGCCATGTTTGGCCAAGGTGTGTGGGCAGCTGGGAGGGTCAGAGTCCTCCTGTGGGGTTAGCCTGCATCCGCTGCCACTCCAACCCCAGCACTGCTGCGTTCAGCGCTGAGGGGTCCTGGTGAGAAGACCACCCCATGTCTGTCCTCAGATGGATTACAAGGCAACAGAGCCTTCGCTCAGGACCACCCTGGAGAACATGACTTTGGAGCAGGCTGTGGGGCTCCTCGGAAGGGTGAACGGCTCCTGCTGCCTGTCTGTGAAGGTCAACACCGAGGGTACAGGCTACACCCCCGTTTGCTCAGCTGTCCAGGCCCATCCTGTGACCTCAAGTCCCTTGACTGCACTGTGTACCCAGAACCCAGGCCCACCCAGAGCCAGGGTAGCTCAGCCAGGATCACCCTGGGTCCCCAAAGCCCACCTCCAAAACTGGAAGCTTCCCTCCCACTCCACCAGTCCTAGCACCAAAGTGGCTTCGAAGCCTTTCCCTCCTTTCCCAAGTAGAATGTGAATACTGCCACATTCTAGAACCTTCCTTGTGTACGTTCAGAGGCCCAAGATCACCGGTCATTCATGTCTTCTTTTATCAGGTTATAAAAAGCTAGTCCAGGACCTGGACACCAAAGCGGTGACCTCAGGGGACTCATTCTACATCCGAGTCAACCTGGCCATGAAGGGGAAGGGGGAAGGGGAGCTGCATACACACTGCAATGACATCCTGCATGTCACTGACACCATGTTCCAAGGTCACAGCTGCTGGCGGGCCCACCATGTGAACCCTTACACCATGAGGGACACGGAGCCTGGCACGATCCCCAACTATCCACAGTGAGTAGCAACTTCTGACTCACGTCCACAGAGAGACTGCAGACAGGATGACCCCGCCTGGCCCAACTACATATGGAGGGAAAGGAGGAAGGAGGGACCTTCCAGAAGCTTCCCTGCCCCAAATCAGAGCACCTGCCCCAGAACAGAGTAGAGGGAAGGGTACCCCTTGGAAAGAGAACCCACCAGGCTCACTACTACGCATGGGGTCTCCTGGTGGTAGATGCTCTCTCTCTGTTACACGCCCTGGCTGCTCATTAGTGACCCCACCCCCCACCCCCTTGGGACAATTAAATTAGTACCTCCAGGCCTGGGCTGAGGCTTAGGAGACCATTTGAAGACCTCAGTCTGTGAGCCGCGGGGTAAAGCACCCCAGCCTGCAGCCTGTGTGTCATTCTTGAGACTGCTCAGGCAGGATGTCAGGGCCTGTCCTCCATCCCACAGGGCTCAGCAGCAGCTCCTCTCTGTCATCCAGGACATGACCCAATGGTACACAGCTTCACGCAAGGTAAGACTCTGGCTCCCTGGGGTAGGCTGGAAGGGAGGAGGACGCTGGTGGAATCCTGGGTAGGAAATGTGGACCTCTGATCTGAGCAGGACAGCATCTGTGTCCTGTGGATTCCTCTGAGCCCTTGAAGGGGTCCACACCCTTCCCTAGGCCTGCGAGCCCTTGGAATGAGACATGAACACACCAGGCCCTGCTCTCCAAGTGGCTGTTGTTCCACCCCCTCCTCCTGGGTTCCCGTCACCTGCTCACCTCCCTATTCTCCTTCCCTCTGAGGTCGGGCAAGTTGTGCTCTCCGGACACAAAGCACCTTTCACTTTGAGCACCCACCTGTCCCTGAGCAAGGTGCTAAGACTGTGCCACAGCACTGTGATGCTGAACTGGAGCAGGGCCTGCTCTTCTCTCTGCCTTTCACAGCCCGCCCCTTCCTGCCAGCCTGCTGCCTGAGGCCTATCTCCTGCCTCCCGTCTCCCTGGTGTGGGGTCTGGGCAGCCTGGTTGCTCTGTGGGCACAAACTGATGGTTCAGAGGCCACACTGGATTTGCTTATGGGGCAGGGTGCTAAGGCAGGGTGGGGGTGCCAGGCCGAAGACCCAGTGTTGGTGTCTGACCTTTCTTTGTCCCTTTCCCGTCCCCCTGCTCCCCCTCTGACAGCCTTCTGGGGGGCTGCAAAAGTTGATCCGAATCGTCAGTGTGGACAAAGCCAGTGTTAGCCTTCTGTCTTCGTCCGTTGATCAAGGCCACTTGGAGTCTAGCAGAGAAGGTGAGGCCCTGTCAGTTGATGCAGGGGCCACGTGGGGGTCACTGCTGGACAGTCAGTGATATCAGGGTGGTGCCCATCACTCAGGCCAGGGGCTGTTTTTTATGACATGACAAATATTTACGTGCTTTTCTGGACAGCAGCTGAGCAACACGTTTTTCATGTCCTTTAAATGGCCACACACGCTCTGTGTCCTGCCCCAGTGAAACAGTTCGGAAGCCACTGGCACAATTATATCCACAGCAGTCTGTTTGGAATAGTAAAAGCTACCAAATGTCCAATGTTCTACAAATGACCCAGGGAAAGTCACTAGGGGATCAGTGTGTAAATAAGGTCATGCTGGAGGTCAGACTAGTACAGGTTCCACAGGTGAAACTGCACAGTATGATCTTCAGAAGTGAATCTAATGAGACAAAAATTACTTTCATAAGATGGATCCTGGGGCTGGAGAGATGGCTCGGCAGTTAAGAGCATTTAGTGCTCTTGCAGAGGACGCACATCTGGTTCCTAGCACCCACATTAGGCAGCCCACAACCTCCTGCAACTTGAGCTCGAGGGGATAAATACATCTTTTTAATTTATTTTTATTTTATGTGAATGAGTGTTTTGCTTGCATGGATGTAAGTGCACCCATGTCATACAATGCCCATGGAGGCCAGAAAAGGGCATCAGATCCCTGGAACTGGAGTTACAGATGGTTGCTGGCCACCATGTGGGTCCTGGGGACTGAACCTTGTTCCCTGCAAGAACAGCCAGTGTTCTCAACCGCTGAGCCATCTCTCTAGTCCCTACATAAATAATTAAAAAAAAAAAAAGTTAAGAGCACTGACTGCTCTTGCAGAGGACCTGGGTTCAATTCTCAGCACCCACAAGGTGGCTACGAACAGTCCTTAGCTCCAGTTCCACGGAAATCCAAAGCCCTCCTCTTACCTACGTGGCAATGCACAAAATGGGTGCACTCACATACATGCAGGCAATACACGCATACACATGGAATGAAAATAATAAAATTTAAAAAATAAAATAAAAATAAAAGGGATGTTGAAGACACAGCAACATAACTGGGCGAGGAGTGATGGATTCAGGAGGAGGCTCAGGACCCTGAAGCCTGAAGGATGGGGGCTGAGTGGAAGGCAGGACTGAGCTGATGCGGCAGGGGGGGGGCGGCTGGGTTGAGAGACAGAGCTCTGGCACATCCCTCTGAAGGAGGAGCTGAACTCTGTCCTCAGAGGCTCATCCTGGAGAGCCGTGAGCTCTGTAAAGAGTGGGTGCCAGGCAGTGTCTGCAGAGCAGTGACACTGTGTGCAATGAGGTCTGCTGAAGCCAAGCACGCTCCGTGTTGGTCTCTCCTGGGAGGGAGGAGGCAGGACACCGGTGGCCAGGGACGCGGGTGGGCAGACTCGGGTGGGTGGAAACACAGTAGGAAGTACTTCCTCTTGAAGCCTGGTGCTTACAGCTCTCTCCCACAGGTGGCTCCAGTGCGTGCTTCTGGGCAGAGAGTTGCCTCACCCTGGCACCCTACACCCTGGTGCACCCCCACAGGCCTGCCCGGCCGCGGCCCGTGGTCTTCGTGCCTAGAGCTGTTGGGAAGATCCTGAGCAGAAAGCTGTGCCTTCTGCAGGGCTTTAAGCAATGCCAGGCAGGTATGCATTCACCTCTCAGGTGGCTGGTCGGAAGGCTGTCTGCTCTGAGGCAGCAGTACACAGGTGACTGTGGGTTCCTAAGGCTACCATAACAGATGGCCATAACCTGGGACCTTTAAGGGACAGAAATGATGGTCTCACAGTTCTAAAGGGATGACGTCTGACCTCAGGGCCTCAGCAGGGCCCTGGTCTCTCTGAGGGCTGCAGTTGTGGGTCCTTCCTTGCTCAAGAGCTGAACATCACCACCCCCATCTCAGTGTTGGTCATCTGTGGCCTTTTCCCTTCTGTGTGTCTCATGTCTGCACGTGGCCTCCATGGGGCCCATCTTAAGCCAGTACTGTCTCACCTATTTCCAAGGAAGGTTCATTTTGGGTGCTGGTGGACATGAATCGGGTTGCCATTTGTAAGCAGTCGTCTGCCATCTGGCTGTTCATGTCCCACAGCCTTCCTCCCTCCATGAGCATGTACGGAGCTGAGTCTGTGTTCCTTCATTCCATTGCCCTGACCATGTGTGCCCATGTCATTAACAGGCTAGCACGGCTGGACAGCCCTGTCAATTTGCTAGCAGTCATCAGGCAGCTTCATAGCAAGAGTCTGCCAATCCCCGGGTTCGCAGGCTGAGGGGCTGCTCAGCAGGAAAGGCTGGGTGGCAGACAGGGGTGGGTTACTGTGGAGGATAACAGGGTCTTCCCTCATGTTCAGGAAAGACAAGGAAACAAGTGCAATCTATGAGATTCCCCCACTCAGCACCGCCTTGTGCCAGCTCCATGGGGCCAGGCTTCAGTGGGAGGAACTATCCCAGAGGCCCCAGGAGACTCCTCTAGAAACAGCTACCTGGGCACACACAGGCAGGGCAGTGGAACGAAGGAACACAGACTCGGCTCTGTACAAGCTCATGGAGGGAGAAAGGCACATGGGATATGAACGGCCAGATGGCAGCAGACAGAAGAGAGAGGCAGGAGGTGGTCCAGCTGGCCAGGCGGCATGGCACAGGGGTTCGTAGCACTACCAGCTTAAGCCACTGTTGTGCTGGAACCAGGAGAGTGGGGGTTAAATGTACAAGTTCATGTAAAAACTTAACAGTTTTTGTTTTGTTGCTGTTGTTTGAGATGTGATCTCACTATGTAGCCCTGGCTGGCCTAGAACTCACTATGTAGATCAAATTCATAGAGATCCGCCTGCCTCTGCCTCTCCAGTGCTGGGATTAAAGGTGTGTGTCACCATGCCCAGCCTAGTTTGACAGTTTTTGAAGTGAGAGACTCGCTCAGCTTTGAGCTTTGAAAGCAGAATGGAAAATGGCTGAAGAAGGCCTAGTCAGGGGATGGGGTATGTTCAACCACTAGAGCTCAGGGATCCCAGATGCTGTGGTGAGGGTTGGGGAGGGGACCCCTGAGCTGTGTGCAGCAAGCTATCAGCCTGGATGGGGCACCTTGAGAGTTGAGAGACAGGCCAGGAGGAGGGCAGGGCGATTCTGACCTGGCCAGGACTCAGCCTCCCAGGAGGTCAGGGGGACCTGGAGGCTATCAGGGAAGGTTCTCAACCTCAGCAAGAGGACTTCTGGGGCCAACTTTGTCCATTGTGGGACTTTCCTGAGCATTGTTCAGTGTTTGGCAGCAACCCCCATCACAAACACACAAACCTGAGAATGCCCCAGACGCTGCCCAGTGTCCTCTGGGGTCAGCACTGCACTGGACAGAAACAGTGATTTAAGGGACTGGTGGACTTTCTCAGTGTTACGTTGGATCTGTAAATTTGGAGCTTGGGAAGTGGTACGGAGCATCTGTCTATCCATCTGCTCATCTGGTGATCCATTTCCCCTTCTACCCCTCCTCCACATCACCTATTGCAAAGGCCACACATGCCACACCCCATAGGGTGGCGTGCCAGCAGACCTTCCCCTGGTAGACAGGCAGGGTGCCTGGGCCCCTGGGAAGAGCTTCTCCCAAACCTGTGGGAGATACTTAGGGTGGGGTTCCCGGCACAGGCTCCCTCAGAATCCCAGCGTAGACCACCCCATCCAATGTCATCTCCAGAGTACTTGAGCCCGGAGGAGTATGTCACCTGGAGCCAGAGAGGGGACATCATCCAGGAGGGAGAGCCGACGGGTGACCACCGCTGGGTGACCCGGCATGCCGTGGAGTCCCTCATGAGGATGGTAAGGGCGGGGCCTCGGGGATTCTTCGGGAATGGCAGCTCCTGCCCAGACTAGGGGAGGATTTGGGGAGTAGTCTGTGGGGGTCTGAACACCCAGCTTGATGCTCAGTGGAGGGACACAGAAAGACCCAACACTGTTCCTGTCATTTAGGAGCCATATGTTCCTGGGTGAGTCTTACATTGAACCTCAGTGTCCACAACTTGAAATGTTTAATAAGTGTTTGTTAATGAATAAAAAATAGAGGTATCAAGACTGTTACATGTGAAGGTTCAAACATAGATGTTCACCGTGAACTGTCAAGCATCATACCCAAGGAGTGGGAAGCACACCCAAACACACACACACACACACACACACACACACATACACATACACAACCACATGGAGGGTTGACAGCTGGCGCTCTTAAGAGTTGCATGTCATGCAAAATCTATCTCAATCCAAAGGCTTTTGGTTCGATTTTCCCGGGGATAAATCAAATGGACAGTGTCCTTTAAGATCTGCAGTGGGCATCCTGGTGCAGTGGCCCGCTTTTATCCACCTCCACTCACTTCTCTTCTACCCAGTCCTGTGCCCTGCTGCGCAAGGGCACCTCTCACTTCTTTCCAGACCCAAGACCCATGAGTTTTGACTCACTTTCCCCTCTGTTCTCCAAAGAACACTCACGCCCTGCTGGACATCCGGCTGGACAGTGTCCGAGTCCTGCACAAGATGGACATTTTCCCCATCATCATCCACATCTCTGTCAATGAGAAGATGGCGAGGAAACTCAGGTAAGTGCATGCTAGGGCTGGGCAGTGGGACTGGACAGTGGGCGTCTCCTGCTGGGGCTGGGCAGTGGGACTGGACAGTGGGCGTCTCCTGCTGGGGCTGGGCAGTGGAACTGGACAGTGGGCGTCTCCTGCTGGAGCTGGGCAGTGGGACTGGACAGTGGGCGTCTCCTGCTGGGGCTGGGCAGTGGGACTGGACAGTGGCGGTCTCCTGCTGGGGCTGGGCAGTGGAACTGGACAGTCAGGGGTCTCCTGCTGGGGCTGGGCAGTGGAACTGGACAGTGGAACTGGACAGTGGGGGGGGTCTCCTTCTGGGGGCTGGGCAGTGGACCTGGACAGTGGGGGGTCTCCTGCTGGGGCTAGGCAGTGGAACTGGACAGTGGGGGGTCTCCTCCTGGGGGCTGGGCAGTGGAGTTAGGCAACACAGTCTAGGTAAGCATCCAAGCTCCCCAAAGGTCTGACGTGTCTAGAGCATGCCAAGGGGCTTCTAGAGCTCTTTCTGCTTTGGCCCCTAGTTCTGTTCCCACCTCCTTGGGCAGAGGTCCAGCTCCCCTCCCTCAGGAGAGAACCTGCAAACTGTCCCGGCTGGACTTAAGGCTCTGTGCTGGCAAAAAAGGAGAAAGTAAAGGTGGAGCCGCCCCTTGGTTTCTGACTGGGGTCGGATGTTCTGCTGGCCTTACACTCTGGGAAGTGCAGCTGTTCTAGATGAAGCATCAATGAATGTCACAGGGCCAGGTCCCCTCAAGCTGGGGCCCCATGCCTGCACCCAGGGGTGTTTCAGTCGGTGCTGGCCTGTCTTTGACCTGGGCTCCTGATGGGCTCAGTACTGGAAACTGAGGCCATGTCTCTGCCGTGCAGGAAGGGCCTGCAGCGGCTAGGTGGCTCAGAGGAGCAGCTCCTAGAGACAGCCCAGCAGGAGGAGGGTGAGCTGGACAGAGTGCCCTGCCTGTACAGCAGCCTGGGTCCCGACAGCTGCAGTGACCTGGACAGTCTGCTGGGCTGCGTACGCCTGACCATCGCAGATGAGCAGAGAAAGGTGGTGTGGACAGAGCAGAGTCCCTGCTGAGGCCTTCCACGTGCCTGTTAAAGCCATCCTGTGCTTTGAATGCAGGGCCTCAGGGCATGCCTGGTGCTGCTCACCTCTCCTCCTCTGGCCAAGGTGTGATCTCACACCCTCACAACAAGAAAGGCATAAACATGAAGCCACCTGTCTCCACCTTCACCGGGTTCAGGAAGGCCTGGAGAACATTTCCACAGTGTGTGGGTCCTTCCTGAGCCCACCCCATGGCCAGGGCCCCAACATCTTGGGACAAAGCAGATAGGTTTGCGGGAGCTGACCCTTCCTTTCACATTTCCACATGTTAAAGGTCCCTTAAAAACTCAAGGGAGCAGGCACCCCACCCAGGGTAGAGGCACAGACCAGGTGAACTGTGAGTCTGGCCGACCTGTCTCAGTTCTTGACAGCTAAGTGTGGCCACAGACATCTGCAAATAAAGGTGCTGTTGCAGACAAACCTCAGTGTCTCCTAACCTCTGTGCCTGGCCCCAGACACCAGGATGCTTACACAGATGCCCTGGACAGGGCCAGCCTTCCAGAGCTGAGACCTGCCTCCTGACCCAACATTACCTCTTGGCTCCTTCTTGGAACACGGTATCTTCATTACATCCCCAGAAGATGCAGCCATGCAGACACACTGGGGTGAGACTCCCACCTAGCCTGGACTCCCACCACCTCCTGGAACTGCCATAGACTGAGTCATTACAACAGGGGCTTTGAATTACAATGCCTACGATTCAGTATGCTCTTATGAAGCTCTGTGTATTGTACTAAAATAAAAAGCTTTTACAACGATAGGGTCCATGGTTCCCTCCTGCCCCCAAGTATGGAGTTCACAGGGGAGAGGAAGGGATAGACCCTCTCTCTCTCGGTTTCCCAGGCTGCACTTCTAATTTGTGGAAGGTGGACATAGGGCTGGGGTGAGGCCAAATGCTTGCTGTCGCTCAAGGAGAGGTGACTCAAACCAGGCACTATCAGACCCTGTCCTCAGTCATTCTCAGAAAGGACCTGCTGTGCTAAGGACCAGATTAAACTCATCACCACCGAGAGCCAGTGGGAAGCCTGCCCTAGCACGTACTTGGCTTGGGGGTAGAATGAAGGCAGCAAAAGCAAATCCAAGACCTCCCAAAGGCTTCCTCTAGGCCAAGGTTGGTAAAAGCTGGCAGTGTGGTCTGCCCGGTGCCCACATGGCACACAGAAGCCCTGGGCTCTTTTTAGGTGAAGAGCTTGAAAATATTCAGACTCCAGAGGGCCTCAAGTCCCCAGTTCTTTCCCCTACATCTTCGGGTCTCCAAATTTACTCCAAAACACAGACTTGTGATTCTGCCCTGCCCCGGAGCACCCCTAAACTCCTGTGCCAGGATGTGGCTCAGGTAAGAGGACAGCAATGGCCCAGGTATGGTGGCGCCACAGGGAAGGCATGCTTGGGTGCCCCCTCCAGGAGGCAGGAGTGACAGTCCACGTCATAGAAGAGACCCCTCAGATGGGTGCCTGGAGGGTGGGGCTGCTGGTACTGCCTCTGTTGGTCCCTCCCCTCCAAGTCCGGGCAGAGGCGAGTGCCCCAGGGACTGTCAGAGCTCATTGTGGAGAGGACGGCACTGCGGTGTGAGTTTCTCTTCCAGGACACCATCAGGGGCGCACACCCAGGGGTCATGCGTCTCCCACTGCCACTTGACCAGCTGGGCTTTCAGCATCTCCAGTACCTGAGCAAAGCGCGGGTCTGCGGCCAGGTTGTGTGTCTCTTGGGGGTCCCGGCTGATGTCATAGAGTTCCCAGCGCTCCCGGTAGTAGTAACGGTGGAGGTCCTTGTACCAGCCTGTGGGCTGGCCTGCCGTGGTGCGGTTTAGGAGGTCCTGGAAGGTCGGGGAGACGAAGAAATCTTGGTCGATGGGGAAGGGCATCTTGAAGCTGAGGTTGTGTATGAGGCGGAAGTTCCTGTGGTGCACACAGCGCATAGGGTAGGACATGGTAACCTCGTGGTGGCTCTGACTGCCAAAGACAGTGGTCCAACGGGGCTCTGTCTCCAGCACTGGCAAAAGGGACCGGCCTGTGAGCTGGATGGATTTTGACCCAAAGATGGAGTAGCTGGGGTAGGGAATGGAGAACCAGTCCAAGATGGTGGGTGTGAGGTCTGGAAAGAAAACAGCCTCTTAGCAAGGGTTCCTGAGGGACGGGAGGCCCTTTGGAAGGGCTGAGTCTGAGTCACCTGTGGGCACCCTGTAGCACGTATCACCAGCAGGGAGGGGCTGCTTGGGGCCACACCTTTCACCCTTTGGTCATCTTTGGCCTACAGGGCCCATTAATGGTGTAACCAGAGGCCCCGGCTTGGTTAATGACTAGAGGCCTAAAATCCTTTGGATCAGAAGTGCTCTGGGCAAGGAGGGCTTGATTAGTCACAGTGTTGGTCATGGGGCTCCCTCACTCATGGTTTAAGACCACATGGAGAGGTGGGCCCTGAACAGGAGGGAGCCCATCATGTAGCCTCTGAGCAGTCCATGAGGGCTCTTCCAGGCAGTGGGCTGGACACACTGAACTTCTACAGGGCCAGCTCAACTCGGCCCCTTGTGTTTGCTCATCCATAGTGTGGGGCTAGATAACCAGGTCTTTTCAGAGCCGAGCAGAGTCATGAGGGACTCTGGATCCACTGAGAAGTTGGGAGAGGGTGCACTGGTTGTCAAAGTGGGAAACTCCCAGCCCACAGCACTGGTACCACCTGGACCCCACCAGACACCCCGGGGATTATATAAGAACAGGACCACCCCAACTGCCGGGGACTCTGATTCTTATCATGGAATGGAAGTGGCCATCACACACACATACCCACTGCCCAGGTGGAGGAGCACCTTCTAGGTCAGGGGAGCACCCTAGTGTCTGATCCATGGCAGTCCCGCTTGTTCCTCCCCTCCATGAGACAGACAGACAGCCGTACCTAGGAGGCTCACATAGGCCTCGCTGACCTGGCCCCAACGTTGTTGGTGCTCTGGGGATGACACCAGCAAGGGTTCAGCGGTACCAGGCCAGTAGAGGTTGGTCCTGCCGCTGGGGAAGGGGATCCCATTGTCAGATGTGAAGATGACGAGGGTATCGTTCAGGACACCGGCTCCATGCAGCTCCTGGAGCACCAGTCCTATACCTAAGGATGGGGGGCGGGGAGCAAGCTCAGCCATGTGTCCACTCACATCTTTACCACCATTGGGCTCTGTCATCTTCTGGACCTAAAACATCTCTGTGGTCCTTCCTGCCAGCCCAGCCTCTTGTCCCCACTGTGACCCAGCTCCAATATTTGAGCAGGTCACCTGGTCTCTGGGGGCCTGGCCATCCTTTGCAACTGCTGTCATACTAGGTGGCTGCACCCCACACTGGCATCTATGTGTTTTGGTTGTCTGTCCCATGGAGCAAAGAGAAATGACCTCTGCAAGTGCTTGAAGATAGGACTTCCTCTACATCCTCTAAACAATATCAGTAGGAATATGATCAAGGTACCAACCTCCTGCAGGGGCTTGAATCCCCACCCCAAGCTACGTCCACAAGAACCTATGAATGTGACCTTATTTGGAAAAGGGGATTTCACAGATGTAAGGATTACAGTCTCAAGTCCCCAGGTAGAATCTAAAAGCCAATGCCAGGGTTCTTATACGAGAAGCCAGGCATGGTGGCTCACTTCTGTAATCCCAGCACTGGACAGAGACAGGAATCCTGGGAATTCAAGGATAGCCTGAGCTACACAGTGAGTTCCAGTCCAGTTTAAGCTATAGCAAGTCTTCATCTAAAAAGTCAAAAGAAATTTTAATTAAAAGAAGGGATTGGGAAGATAGCTCAGCAGTTAAAGTGTTTGCCATGCAAGCGTGAGGCACAGAGTTTGGATCCCCAGAAACCCACATAAATGCCAGGCATATGTGGTGGCACACCTGTACTTCCAGCCTTGGAAGGCAGAGACAGAGGACCCCCAGAGCAGGCTGACTGGCAAGATTAGCCATGTTGGTGAGCTCTGGGTTTGATTGAGAGACCCTGCCTCAATGAGTAAGGTAGAACGCTATTGAGGATGATTCCCAGTATCTACCCTGGAGCTCCAATGCACTCCTCCCACACGTATGCCCACACATGCAAACACATGCATATATACACACGGACAGAAAACACATACATTAAAAATGGAAAAAAGAAAAAAATTTAAACTTTTTTTAAATAAAAAAAGAGGAAGAGGGGCTGGAGAGATGCTTGGCGGTTAAGAGCACTGGCTGCTTTTTCAGAGGTCCCAGGTTTGGTTCCCAGCAGCCACCGACAGCTCAGAACCACCTGTTACTCCAGTTAGCAGGGTTCTGATGCCCTCTTCTGGCCTGTATGGGCACTGCATGCACATGGTTCACATACAGACAAGCAGGTACATACACACACACACACATAAATAAAAAATTTTGGAATATGGGGCTGAAGAGATGGCTCAGCAATTAAGAGCACTGACTGCTCTTGCAGAGGACCAGCTTACCTACATGCAGGCAATACACACATACACATAAAATAAAAATAAATTTATTTAAAAAAACTTTTTTTTAAAGAAAGAAGACGGGCATGGTAGAGCACGCCTTTAATCCCAGCACTTAGGAGGCAGAGGCAGGTGGATCTTTGTGAGTTCGAGGCCAGCCTAGTCTACATAGTGAGTTCCAGGACAGCTGGAGCTACTGGGAGACCCTGTCTCAAAAAGACAAAAAAAAAAGAAAAAAAAATAGAAGGGGAGATAACACACAGCTAAGGGGCTGTGTAAAGTTGGAGCTCATGGCTGCAGTAATGTGGTCACAAGCTAAGGGATGCCAGGGGCCCCAGCCCCAGATACTGGGACCCATGCTTTCAACACTAACCCTTGCTATACGCTGCTGCTAGGACCCAACCTGGCTGAGGGGTTCCAGCCTGTGATGTGAACAGGGAGCCTGTGACATCCACAACCTGAGTTACTGGGACCCACCTTGGTCCATCCGGCCAATGGTGGTGTACTGAGCAGCCAGGTCAGCTCGGGCTGCTGGTGTATCTGGGACAAAGTAAGGTACCTGAGGAAGGCAGGTAGGTGAAAAGTCAGGCTGAGAGGGATGTGGGGGATGGTCCTCCCATGACTGGGTAGGAGACAGGGTGCAAGGCTTCTCCTTAACCCCCTCCCCAAAATGGACTGGTCAGAACAGCTTTACTCTACACACCACCACTCCACAGCCACAGGGTCGGGGATCTCTTCGTAGCTCACACCCAGAGCTTATTAGTGAGGGGGTGTCCACATAAGTGTTAATGCCACATCAGAGACAAGGGCTGCAATCTCTAGGGGCGGCAAGGTCCTGGGTTTAGAGTTGGGGTGGGGAGGCTCCTACCATCACATCCTGAGGGTTGTAGATCTGTGGCGTCCAGTCTGGAATGCGCCCCATGCCTCGTTCCCCATTGCCAAACTTCTCACAGAAGGTTCCATACTGGGGCTGGGAGTGCCCACAGCGGTGGGGGTCATGGAAGGCCACATACAGGAAAAAAGGTCTGAATATGGAGGACGGGATCAGTGTGGGGGTCAGGGCAGGCCGCTGTCCTGACTGTGCTCTTGAGTGTGCCATTCCTTAGGCAGGAGCTCCCTGGCTCTGCCTACTCCTATCTATAAGTTGCCCTGTCTACCTTGCTGCCTCAGTTTCCCCATTTCCCTTCTTCTTCAGGAAAGACTGACTTGGGTATTCAGGCTCTTTTCCTCTGCCCCCACCCCAGCCATCTATGGAATCTAGGATGTGTGCCCAGATCCATAGCTGAGAAGCCTGGCCACGTCGGAGGGTAACAGACAGGACTCTCCATACCTGTCATCCTGAGTCTGCAGAAATTTCTGGACTAGCTGCTTAATTCTAGTGATGTTCCGCCCCACCTGCAGCACAGAGCTGTTCTCCTCTGTGTATGCAAAGTCAAAGGGGTACACCGTCTCCGGTCCCACATGCTTCTTCCCAATGATGCCTGAGGGTGGATGAGAGAAGAGATCCAGAGTCCTTTCTGTCCCCCATTCTGCCTGAGCCCCAAGAGTGCTTCTGCTGTGGGTGGGCAGATATGAGGCTCGGACTGGGTCTTTGGGATGAGTCCTCAGGGCAAGCCACATGGGCTAAGAGTGACTCAGGATCTCAGACCTGCTCTGGCTGGAAGGGGTCAAAGAGGGTCCACGCACCCGTCCCCTGCCTGTTCCTCACCTGTGCGCACGCCAGCCTGGCTGAGCAGCAGAGGCAGGCTCTGCACCTTGTCGAAGGAGCTGAAGTGATGCACACCCTGGTGTAGCCCGTACATGCCATTCTGATGCTGTGGAAGACGACCGTGTAAAGCTGGGCTCCGGCACCCTGCGGCTCATCCCAGGGGCCCCCTTGATGCTGGCCCTCAGAGGGAACTCCACCCTGTGCTCCCCTCTCCTGTGACAGGTCATTAGCGGGAGGGAAGGGAACCCAAAGTCACGCCCCAGCTGCACGGTGGCTTTTATGCTCCTTGTGCACATCAGACTTTCCAGTTCCCACTGTGACCACTCACCACACAGAGAAAACGTGGTGTCTTTTTGCTATTGTCTTGTTTTTGTTGTTTTGTTTTTTGGGTTTTTTTTTTTTTGTTGTTGTTGTTGTTGTTGTTTTGGTCTTTTTGAGACAGGGTCTCCCTGTAGCCCCAGCTGGCCTGGAACCCACTATGTAGACCAGGCTGGACTTGAACTCACAGAGATCCGCCTGCCTCTGCCTCCTGAGTGCTGGGATTAAAGGTGTGCGCCACCACACCCAGCTTGTTGTTTTGTTTTTTGTGTTTTCTGAGAGGGTGAGGGGGTGTCTCATCTAGCCCAGGCTAGCCTTGAACTCTTGATCCTCTCAACTCTACCCCCACTGCTGGGATCACCAGCATGCGGCACCATGCCTGGCAGGCTACTGCCTTTTTATTATCTAATTAATCAATTAACTAGTTAATTTTAGGTTTTGAAACAGGTGGTCACTATATAGCCCAGGCTGGCCTAGAACTCACGATCCCCTTGTTTCTGTTTCCACAGTCCTGGGATTACAGATGTGTGCCACCACACCCAGCTTACCTAATTGTTTTATATTTTAAAGCAAATCACTGTAGGGGTTGGAGAAATGGCTCAGGGGTTAAGCGCAGTGGCTGTTCTTATACAGGACCCAAGTTCAATTCCCAGCACCTAATGGCAGCTAACAACCATCCTTAACTTCAGTTCCAGGGGATGATGCCCTTTTCTGGCCTCTACAGGCATTGCATGCCCTGTGCACTTGCGCACATGTACGCAAAACATTCATAGGTATAAAATAAAATTTTTTTAAAAAATAAGCAATCACTGTACACATTAAAATTTCAGAGCACTTAGAAAGATGGACAGAAAGCCGTCTGGAAGCTGCAAAGCTCACAGCTGCCTCCTACCTACAGTTCTCTGTCTGGAAGCTGCAAAGATCACAGCTTTCAGGAGACATCGGGGCACATACTTAATCCCTTCCACAAAGGCCTACCACTCAGCCTCAGACCTTTGTATGGGCTCAGGAGACGGCCTGTTTGCTCATGATGAGGTAACATCATAATATTATACAAAAAGGTGTGTATATCAAAAGTAAGTGTCCTGCTACCCACAAAGGCTAAGTTATGGAATCAACATACGTGTCAACAGCAGAGGGATGTACAGGCAAATGTGACACATTTACACAATGGAAGATTTTCATGTCTTCTATCATTTGTGGTTCCTAGATTTTATATAGTCACATAAAATCATGGAAGTAGATGTAAGAGGGGCTGGAGAGATGGCTCAGTGGTTAAGAGCGCAGGCTGCTCTGGCAGAGGACCTGAATACACTTCCCAGCACCTAACGTCTGTAACTCTAGTTCCAGGGGATCCGATGCCCTCTTCTGACCTCAGCAAGCATTGTATGACATGGGCGCACTTACATACATGCAGGTAATACACTCATATGAATAAACTATAATAATTTTTTCTTTAAGAAAGAAGTAAACTTGCCTAGAACGAGAGGAGTAGAGGAAAGTGAGAAAGGAGAACGGGGGGGGCAACACAACCTATAAGAAAGAAAAACATTGTTTAAATAAAACATCGGCCAGGGATGTGGTGCATACCTTCCATCCCAGCACTGGGGAGGCAAAGGCAGGCGGATCTCAGAGAGTCTGAGGCCAACCTGGTCTACACAGTGAGTTCCAGGCCAGGGCTACATGGTGAGACACAGGGTGAGGCCGCACATCCACATTTACAGCAGTCAAGGGTGGCATCACCCAGATGTGCACTGAGAGAGGACGGAGAAGGAAGATGTAGCCCATCTGTACAGTGAGTTCCCCAGCCTTTTAAACAAAGGAAGTCCTAGCTGGGGACTGAGTTGCACCTGTAATCCCAGTGCTTGGGAATCGGAGGCAGATCAGGAATTCGAAGCCAGGCTCAGTTATACAGTGAGAATGTGGCCAGCCTGGGTTATGCAAGGTCCTGCCTGTCTCAAGAAAAAGAGCCAACGAGATGGTTCAGCCAGTAAAAGTGACAAGCCTGCCGACCTGAGTTTGAACCCTGGGACCCTCGTGGTAGGGTAGGAGAACCAACTCCCGAAAATTGTCTCGACGTTTACAAGCTTGATGTGGTCTGCTCCCACCCACTCAAACAAAATAAATTTTAAAACATGATAAAAAATTAAAAACAAGTCTTTTGTTGGGTGTGGTGGCATGTGTTTTAATCCCAGCACTTAGGAGGCAGAGGCAGGCAGATCTCTGTGAGATTGAGGCCAGCTTGGTCCACATAGCAAGTTCCAGGGCAGCTGGGGCTGTAGGGAGACCGTGTCTCAAAAAGACAAAAAAAAAAAAAAAAGTCTTTTTTAAGAAAGGAAGGAAATTCTGACACAGACTATCAGTTGCACAAACCTCAGAGTCACTAAGCTCTGTGATACGGCCAAACTCAGAAGAACAGACAGCAGTGATTGAGCTTATGGGAGTCCATCAAGTCACCAGACTCAGAGACACAAAGCAGGGTGGGGGCTGCCAGGGATGGAGGAGGGGGAGTTAGTGTATAATGGGGACCAAGTTTCAGTTTGAGGAAGTTCTAGAGATGGATGGTGGGGCGGCCGCAGTCATGTGAATGTGTTTCATGCCACTGACCTCACACTGAAAAAAAACAATTAAGATGCTAAATTTGATGTTACATGTACTTTACCATAACAACATCAACAAAAACGGAAGAGCTTTAAAGCATGGGAAGGCCTGAGATACCACGGAGGCTCCAGGAGCCAGATGGTGGCTGTGCAGGTTCTGTACTAAGTGCTTCACTTACAAAGCCATGTTTGGACAACCCCTGTGAGTGGCATCTCACTATGGCCTCCTTTTCACAGATGAGGAAACTGAGGCACAAAGAACGAAGCTATCTGGTCACAGTCACAGTGTGGCAGACCAGCTGTGCCGACAGGCAGTGAGGCAAAGCGCTGGTCTGCACCTGAGACCACTGGGCTACCCCCAGGGATGAGAAGGAAGTCAGGCAGCACCTCCGAGGAGAGAGGGGGTTTCCCTGTGGCAGAGGCCTGGGCCTCGGGCGTCACCAGCTCACACTCACTCTCCCCCATCACACCTGAGGCAGGCCGGTGAGGAGACTGGCACGGCTGGGAGAGCAGCTGCTGACCGAGGTGAAGGCGTTTCTGAAGACGAGGCTGCGGCGGGCCAGGGCATCCAAGTGGGGGGTGGCGATGGCACTGTTGTTGTATGTGCCACTCTCAAAGCCTCCATCGTCAGCTGAGGAAGAGACGGAGGGAGTGGTAAGTTGGGGTCAGGGGGCATAGCACGGAGACGTGGGAGAAACCCAGGGTCCTGCTGCAAAGGGTTGGCCCAATGACGCTCAGGAGAGCAACAAACCCTGAGAGGGCACCATGCCAGGCCGCATGGGAGCAGGAGCATGTGAGCAGATGGGCATGCCGCACATGCAATCCCTGGGTGGATGGCTTAGCAAGCAGGGTGACCCTTAGCTCTCATTGTACTCAACAAAGGATACCCTTTGAAGTAAGGAGGCATGCAGCCCAGCAAGTTTAGCATCCTTGCAGGCATGTCAGTAGGTGGTGGCCAAATGCAGATATGCAGGCTGCTGGGCCACCCTGGGCTGTGCAGAAACCTCACAGGACAGCCATGTTCAGGATACAGTCAAGGAGCTTTCTGTGTGCACACCCTACCTTGGTGTCCTACTGAGCCACAGTGCCCTTCCCCAAAGGCCTAGAACCTTAGAGAATGTCTAGTTCGACCCCTCCAGCCTACAGAAGACACCTGAAGTCCAGAGAAGTGCGGCGCAGCAAGCCTCCCAGTTCCTACAGCTTCTGCCCCCTACGGTACAGCAGGGGACATCAGGGGCACCCCAGAAGCAACCAGTTAGAACCTCCAAGGACACATCACCCTCAGTCATGGTCAAAGCAGCCCTTGAGCAGAAGTAGATGGTCAGTTTCCAGTGCGGTCACCGTCCTCCACCCTGCTAGACCCACGAGGCTCAGAGAGCCGAGGGCAAGCCGAGCAGGCTGGAGGGATAGGATGCTAGGGTGATGCTTGGTGTGGCTTCTGCGGCAGGCCAGGAGGAAAGACCTCTGCAGTGCTGGCTCAAGGTCTCTGCACCTGGCTACGACTCCTGTGTGCATTGGATTGTCTCCTTCCAAAACTCATATTGCAGCCCTAACCCTGTTGTGAATGTATCTGTGGACTCCATCTTTAAGGACAAGTTAATTGAGGCCAGTCCTGGGGCCCAATCGGACAGGACTGTGGCATTTCTGTTATAATAGATCTTCCACACGCCAGGAAGCCGGCCTCCTTACAGCCAGACTGAGCAGGCTTCCTGGTCTCTTCAGGCTCTGCACTTCTGTTTGTCAGCAATCTGGCTGTAGTTTCTATGTTTTTGTTACCGTTGTTCACAGAGACAGGACCTAACTAGGGAGTCACACAGCCTGAGTTCTAGAAGGTTCTGGCCTGAATCCCTATCTGGGGAGCCCTGAACCTCTGGGAAGATCTTCATTAGTACCCTGGGGAAGGAGACTGAGACACCACTGTTTGTTACACTTAGGCACCAGCCTGGCCAGAGACCACAAAGTTAATCAGAAAGAGTAGGCCTGGCGACGGGCCAGACCTCAAAAGAGCTGGGGTGTCACAAGCCAGGCACTGGTCACCCAAACAGGAAGTCTCGTGGATGCCAGAGGAACATGGGGTTTTTGAGCGTGACTGGAGAACACTGAGTGGGCAGTGGGGGACTCTGCTCTGGGCCGGGGGAAAAAAAGAGTTGAGCCACAGCGCTCTGGGGTCTGAAAGAGGAAGGTCCAGTGTACATGGGGAGGAGAGCCCCGGTCACTCTGGGACACTGGCGCCAGCGTCTCTTCGGGCACCTTCTCTGAGCCCTGCGGACCCCTAACTCTACAAAGCCACCCAGTAAAAGGAGCTGGCACCCACAAGCTCGCCCTTGCTGCTCTGGCTACAGATGGAGTGAATGGGGCTGACCCCTCCGCCACACTGAGAGCAACACCCAGGCCGACAGCAGTGCGCGGAGACCAGCGGGATGGCGAGAGGCGGGGCGCGGGGCTGCCGGGGCTCTGCGGTCAGCGCTGACCACCGGCCGGGAGGGCAACAGCGGGTGGCCGTGCACCGCAGGGCCGGGGACGGCCGCACTCACCGAGAATCAGCAGCACGTTGCGGGAGCGCGCCCGGCAGAGCCCCAGGAGGAGCAGCAGCGCACAGCAGGCCAGCTCCGGGCCGTGCATGGCTGCGCCCGCCCCGATCCCCGGTTCCGGCGGGGGAAGGGCCGGAGGTCACGTGCACGTAGGCCCCGCCCCGCGTCCCACCCACTCACAGCCTGCGATCCCTGTGAGCTCAGCTGCCGAGACCCGGGGAGACCCGGTTCCACGGTGTCCTGGGGGTGAGTGAGTCCGCGGAGTGGGCCCGGGATGTGGACGGCAGGGTGCGCCGGGGTCACCAGGGGCGGGGCACGCGGGGCCAGCGCCGGGTTCCAGGCTGCGCCCACCGGTGTGGACCCACCCCGCCGCTCTCTGCCTCGCTCGGGACTGGCTGGCTGGCCGCAGACGGTCCTCGGTCACGGGATGCTCACCTGGGCCGCGGAGTCCCGGTCTAGCAGCGGCGTGGGGGTGGGGAGAGGTGGACTTTTGCCAGCGCTCAGGGCCCGGGTGCGAGGCACTAGTCGTGGGGGGCAGTGTAGTGCTGGGGGCGGGCCAGGATCGTAGTAGCCCATGCTACGCACCTGATACTAATCTGGGAGCCTCTAGAATCCTCGGGGCCCACTCGGGGCCGTGAATGCCAGGGGTGGGTTCCTGGGTAAATCGTGACTTCAGGATGTGGGGATCGCCCCCCGATTTCAGCGTTCCAGTGGAGCCCCCACGTAGTGTGCACTTGGAAATCTCAGAGCCCTGCCCTGGGTGTTTGGGGGCCTCTAGGCCGCCCACCCACGCAGTGTACCAGCCAGTCGAGATAGCTGCCAGGGTTCCCTGGGAAGGCTTTGGTAAAAGGAAGGAACACATTCCTCAGGGGTGAAAAATTAGTCTTTAGGGTTCCCATGAAGAACTCCTTTGCCAAGTGTTGGCAGGAGTTGGTGATGGAGGGAAACGGACACCCAGGACTGGGGAAAGTGGGGTTTGGGGCAGTGACTGAGGGAGGGAACAAGGTGATCTTAACGGATCCTTGGTCCAGGCCTCATCTGAACTTAGCTGCTAGACTCAGCCTCCCTCCCCCAAGTAGAAGGCAGTGTGTGCTCCTGAGTCCCCTGAGGGGGTTGCTGGACCTTCTCCCAGGCCCAGCCCCTGATTAGCTTGGTCTTTGTCACCCAGCCCCAGTCCCACTCTCGGGCTGCCCTTCTCCTTGAATGTTCTGGGTCAGGCGGGATCCCTCAGCACCAGCATGGCACCAGACACCTGCAGCTGCTCCCAGGCCGCCCTGCAGCAGAGGCTGCCCATCCTGGCCTGGCTACCTAACTACTCCATACAGTGGCTGAAGATGGACTTCATCGCTGGGCTTTCCGTGGGGCTCACAGTCATTCCTCAGGCGCTGGCCTATGCTGAAGTGGCTGGACTCCCACCCCAGGTGAGGTGGCTGGCCCCACTGCCTGCCATTCCCTCCTTCCAGCGGGACTCCACTCTTCCTCACTGTCTGTCCACAGGCAGAGTGGAGACACATACAGTGGAGTCCAGACACCTCCATGTGTCCCGCCCCAAAGGCCCCTTGGTCTGTAATCTCTTAACATGTGACTGCCTTGGGCACCAAGCCAGTCCCAGATTGTCTAGAAGGGGCCAGCCCCAGATCATCATAGCCTTACGGACACTTCCGCAGCTGGGCATGGTGGCTCATGTCTGTAATCCCAGCACCTCGGAGACTGAGGCAAGAGGACTGACAGGGTTGAAGCCGAACTATGATATGCAGGGTTACAGAATGAGACTCTGTCACAAGACCAAAAATCGTCTGGAGAGGGAGGTTCAGCAGTTAAGAAAATTGGCTGCTCTTGCAGAGGACCTGGGTTTGAGAGACATACATGCATCAAAACACTCATACACATAAAAAATATAGATAAATCTTGGGGCTGCAGAGATGGCTCAGCAGTTAAGAAAATTGGCTGCTCTTGCAGAGGACCCAGGTTCAGTTCCCAGCACCCACATGACAGCTTAAAGCCGTCCATAACTCCAGTTCCAGGGGATCTGATGCCCTCTTTTCACCTCTGTAAACATTGCATGCACGTGGTGCACATACATATACACAGACATACATGCATCAAAACACTCATACACATAAAAAATATAGATAAATCTTGGGGCTGCAGAGATGGCTCAGCAGTTAAGAAAATTGGCTGCTCTTGCAGAGGACCCAGGTTCAGTTCCCAGCACCCACATGACAGCTTAAAGCCGTCCATAACTCCAGTTCCAGGGGATCTGATGCCCTCTTTTCACCTCTGTAAACATTGCATGCACGTGGTGCACATACATATACACAGACATACATGCATCAAAACACTCATACACATAAAAAATATAGATAAATCTTGGGGCTGCAGAGAAGGTTCAGCAGTTAAGAAAATTGGCTGCTCTTGCAGAGGACCTGGGTTTGAGTCCCAGCATCCACATGGCAGCTAACAACCATCTGTGACTCCAGTTCCGGGGATCAGATACCCTTTTCTGACCTCCACAAGCATTACATGACACAGATGCACTTATTATACACATGCAGGTAATACACTCATACACATAAAATAAAAATAAAATCATCTGGAGAGATGGTTCAGGGGTTAAAAGCACTGGCCGCTCTTGCAGAGGACCCAGTTCAGTTCCCAGCACCCACATCAGATGACTCCCAACCACCTGTAACTCCAGCTCCAGGAGATTTGAAATCCTCTTCTGACCTCTGAGGGTACCTGCAGCACACACACAATACACATACATGCACTCGAGCAAACACATATACACATTAAATAAAACTTTTTTTTTTTTTTTGGTCTTTTTGAGACAGGGCCTCCCTGTAACCCCAGCTGTCCTGGAACTCACTATGTAGACCAGGCTGGCCTTGAACTCACAGAGATCGGCCTGCCTGTGCCTGTGCTGGGATTAAAGGTATGTGCCACCACACCCAGCCTTAAATGAAACTTTTTAAAAAGCGCACTTCTGGGGCTGGAGAGATGGCTCAGTGGTTAAGAGCACTGGCTGCTCTTGCAGATGACCCAGGTTCGATTCCCAGCACCCACATGGTGGCTAACAACCATCTGTAACTACAGTTCCAGGGAATCTGACACCCTCTCTGACCTCTGTGGGTATTGCACAACACGGATGCACCTACCTACATGCAGGCAATACACTCATACACATAAAATAAAAATAGTAAATATTTTTTTAAAAAAGCACGCCTTCCTCAGAGTCACAGACATAAGCACACAGACCTTTGAGCTTTCTATAGGCAGCACCCCCCCCCACTTCATCTGGCTGTCAGCACCATTGCACTGGTAGTAAAATAAATGGCCCATGTTTATTCCCTGCAAGTCCAGAGTGTTGGTTAGTAGAAGCTGAGCAGCATGCCATCCAGTGTGTGCTGGGATGCCCAGCTGACACCAGGGACGTGGATGCCAGGCCTGGGCCTCCTGGCGCTTACCGTAGTCTTTCCCTAACAGTACGGCCTCTACTCTGCCTTCATGGGATGCTTTGTGTATCTCTTCCTGGGCACCTCCCGGGATGTGACTCTGGGTCCCACGGCTATCATGTCCCTCCTGGTATCCTTCTACACCTTCCACGAGCCTGCCTATGCTGTGCTGCTGGCCTTCCTGTCGGGGTGTATTCAGCTGGCCATGGGGTTCCTGCATTTGGGTAAGACTCTGCCTTCCTGCTGTGAGGAAGGGCTTTTCAGGGTGCTTTTCCTAGACTACCAAGGCCTTAAGGGAAGGCCTTTCTTTGCATTATTACACATGAGGGTGGGGCCAGCACAGCTCTGCTGTACACTGGGTAGGGCCAGCATACTTGGAGAAGTGTTAGGGACGCAGAGCCTATAGACTTGCTTTCTTGCTCTCCAAAAATGTCCAGAATAAGAGGCTGTAGAGATGATTCAGCAACTTGGAGCACTTGCTGCTCTTGCAGAGGACCTGGGACCTGAGTTTAGTTCCCAGCACCCATATGGCAGCTAACAACTGTCTATAACTCCAGTTCCAGGGGATCCAACAGCCTCCTCTGTCCTCCGAGGGCATTGCACGACATGGGTGCACTTACCTACATGCAGGCAAAACACGCATACACATAGAATAAAAATAATCAATAAAATGTTTATAATAATAATAAATCTTAACTTTCCAGAACAGCTTGTTGCCCATCAATACTTGCCTGCAGCATGTGCCCTTAGCCCTGTTGTACACCCGTCCCAACCCACACACAGCCTTTCTCTGGAGCTGAGTGGAGCTTGAACTGACTCATCAGATCTCTCTCGTCTATAGGATTCCTGCTGGACTTCATCTCCTGCCCTGTCATTAATGGCTTCACCTCTGCTGCCTCCATCACCATTGGCTTTGGACAGATTAAGGTAGGCACAGTCCCCTCCCCAACCCCCAGGCTCTGCACTGTGGCTGCTGCTTGTTGTAGCTGGGAGTAAGACCAAGGGCATTCTTGACCCTTGGGCCCAGCAACCACCTACTCTCCTAGGAAAGAGAAACACATGCTACTCCCAGGGGCCTCCCCTTCATAAAACCAAGTGAGGTGTTGTGTGGTGGCCAGGTTTCACAGAAGGTAATCTTGGGGGCTGGCTATTGCCCCTTGCTCTCCCCTGAGTGTGTATTCTGGGGTGTCTGGTGGGCTCCACAGGGTGATTCTCTCTGGCCCATACCACAGACTCAGCAGACTGGCAGGCCATCAGTCTACCACCAGGCTCTCCACCAGCTAGTCAGCTCCCCACCTGGACCTAGGGACAAGGCCTTGTTGGTGTCATTTTTTCTCACTTCTGTTTATTATATTCAAGTACTATGGCTCTTTTGTTTCTATATACGATATCTATAAAAGGTACGAGAATCTGGCCAGTGAGGTGGTTCAGCAAGTAAAGGTGCTTGCTGGCAAGCTTGACAGCGTGAGTTCATTCCCCAGGCGGAAGGAGAGAACTGATTCCCAAAATTGACCTCTGACCTTCACACCCTTGCCATGGCATGCACAACCCCCCAACACACAAACGTAAATAAATTTAGTTAAAAAGCAAACCACTGGATCTCACAGTCATCAGCTACCCAAGGGTGGAACTTACAGTCTCTTCACAGTGGCCCCTGAAGGGCAGGACTGTGGTGCTGGGCGTGAAGTAGCTGTGCACCCAAGTGAGCATGTGCGGAATGAAACTGAACTCTGTTCTGCTCTTGGGGCTCCTAGGCCACACCTATGCCTCGTGACCCTGTGTCACCACCCGACATCCCCACAAGGCATGTTTCCTAAGACCAGGGCCAGGGATGCTGTCTTCTCTGATGCGGGCAGTGCCAGCGAATCAAGGATGAGGATGTTCGTATGAGCAGGGAGTGGCTGATTTTTGCTTTTTATTCTATTCTTTTGAACCCTGGCTGCGCTAGGCTCGGGGTCACACTTTCCATGTATCTAATCCCCTACCCCAAGGCCCCTAGGACACAGGTTTGCCATTGTGTCCACTTGAAATGAACAAGGTGTGTGTGAGTGTGGCTGGTATGTACACGCAAATGTGGTTTGGTGGGAGGGCCTGCCTTTATTCAGAAAGCAACCGCATTCCATTTTGGTAGCATAAGTGTGGTTTTGTTTACCTCTTCTGTAGGAGAATTGAAGGGTCTTTTGTGTGATCATAATGCCAGTGGGGGAGCCTTCTCTACACTTGTGGTTGGCAACCAGCAGCCCACCAGTCTTTTAAAACCTTGATTAGGTCATGATATGCAACCATCTGTGATGCCCGGGATACAAGTCCCCTGAGTACCAGAATCTATGACTGCTTGCCGTGTCCCCAACACCTCAATGCTTAGAGCAGGTTTGAGGTGGTCACAGCTTGTCCCAGGCTCTACCAGGCCTCCAGTGACAGAACAAAAGCAGGAAGTAGAGGGCCCCTGCGGAAGGCCACTGTCTGTACCCAGCAGCCCTGGAGTTCCTGCACAGGTTTACGGCAGGCTTGATTTCCCTTCTGGTAGGGGGACAGTGCATGAGTGATGGGCGTGACCTCAGGTCAATGGCTGCAGGTGACTGGAGACAGCCTGGGCCAAAGGCCCAGGACTCCTTGGCCACACAGCTGTAGAACTGGTTTCCTTGCTTTAGCGTAACCAAAACTGGCTTTTTATCTTTCCTAAAGATAACTTCCTGCCCATGGAGGGGCTTTGGGAATGGGTAGATGGCCTCCTGGGAGCCCTGAGGTGGCCATGACTGGGCTCTAGGAGAGGAACTGGGGAGTGGGGAGTCTAGCTTGGGACTTTAGGGGCTTCTCCTGATGGCTGGGAGGGAGGTGTGGGGGGATATGGGAAGAGCCAGCCTTTCTGATGGATAGCTGTCTGACACACCCCTGTTTGAACAGAACCTACTGGGCCTGCAGAACATCCCCCGGCAGTTCTTCCTGCAGGTGTATCACACCTTCCTCCATGTTGGAGAGACCAGGTACCTGTTGATGTTTGTTCCTTCCTACAGATGAGGAAGCCCTTCTTTCCAGACCCTCTCCCCACCCCACCTTCCCCCCACCCTAGTGGCATTTGTTTTGTGTCACATGGGTCCTGGAGCAGCACTGTCCCATCACCCTGCAGCAAGTTCCTAGACCCAGAGTCAGGGCAGCATTTCAACAAGGACCCTGGGAAGTACGGCTCCAATTCCTAGGGCCTTTTTGGCTGAGAGAAATGAAGTCAAAGAAAGGGCAGACAGTCTGTTGCAAGATTCTCTTGCTTAGCCAGAGAACATGCACAGGGCACCGAGAGCTAATGCAAATAGAGCGTGTGGGCTGCGAGCAGAGCTGGGACTCCCGTAGGAAGCCTGCCTTTAGGAAGCCTGCCTTTAGGGGTTTAAATAGGCCTTCCTAGACCAGTCTAGCGGGAAGTCAGGATACGTGGCCCATCTCTTCTGCTGGAAATTATTTGGGAGAGCAGGAAAGGGCGCCCACCTGTGGGGAGGCCACTCTGCTGCTGCTCCCTAGGGCCTGTCATGGTGGAGGTCGGCCTCTGGGGAGCAGGGCAGTGAGACTGGCCAGTCACAGCAAGCGCATCAGTGCTGTGAACAGGGTGTCACCGAGTATACAATCCAAAGCCCTGGTGGATAGCCTGAGCATCTGTAAGCCAGAGGACATATGACTGAAAATGGGACCAGTTACCATGGTGATGGGGGGACCGCTCACCTCCCCAGTCTCACAGGGCATTTACTTCCCAATATTCTGAAAGAGAATAGAGATGTAGCCAAGCTGGTGGCACACACCTTTAGTCCTAGCACTCGGGAGGCAGAAGCAGGCAGATCTCTGTGAGCTATGAAGCCAGCCTTATCTACATATCAAGTGCTAGGCCAGCTGGGGCT